TTCTTTCCAGGTTGAAAAGGAGCCATTGTTGAGCACCCTTTGGGTTAAATTCCATAGTAGATAAATAAAATCCTGAGATTAGTTTTAATGACTTTCAAACATGTTTATAGTCCATATGTTTCTTAGATATAAGTTGTAAAATATTTCTCCCTTTTTTCATATATACTCGTCCCTCCACATTCACTGGAGTTAGGGGCACAGGACCCCATGAACGTGGAAAAACCTCAAATAACAAAAACACTATTTTTTTTAACCTGAGAGAACACTTCTCTAGGAATTTCTAGGTCCTCCAGTGCAACTCAGTGGTCAACATCTGCCAGACACCGACCATAGAATTGCGCTGGAGGAGCTACAAATGCCTAGTGGAGGGTTCTCTCTAAGAATCTCTAGGTCCTTCAGTGTGACTTTTGGCTAAAGTTGACCACAGAGTTGTTCTGGAAGACCTAGATATTCCTAGACAGAACATATTAATAAAATCCATGAATAATCAAATCCGCAAAAGTCAAAGCCGCAAATGTGGAGGGACGAGTGTAGTTTTATTTTATGGTAAAAGTTATTTCATTCATTGTGGTTTCTTATTATGATTAGTGGTTACTTCACATTTCATTCACATGGAGCATGATTTATTTCATTTAGGCGTCAAGAGGAGGAAGCATATATTGAGGAAGCGGACATTGGTGACATCTATTATAATCATTTGTCTATTTATTTGGGTCTGGGCTGGAGTGATCCAGCCCTATGTGTCTCCTGAATGTGTGAACGCCATTTTGGATGGACATGTAAAATGGTTAAATGATATTGTGGTTTGAGTATTGGACTATGATTCTGGAGATCAGGGTTCGAGTCCCTGCTTGGTCATGGAAACCCACCAGGTGACTTTGGGAGAGTCACATTCTCTCAGCCCCAGAAAACTCCATGATAGGATCAACTTAGGGTTGCCATTAGTCAGAAACAACTTAAAACTACAGAGTTGAAAGAGACTGCAAGGGCCATCCAGTCCAACCCTCATTTCAACCATGCAAGAAGACACCATCAAAGCCCTCCCTGGGACAGATAGCCATTCAGCCTCTGTTTAAAAACCTCCAAAGAAGGGGACTCCGTCACCCACTGAGGCAGCAGCATCTTCTGCTGTCAAACAGCTCTTACCATCAGGAAGGTCTTGAAGGCATAAAACAACACAACAACATGTAACATGGTGGGAATTCTTTCAAGAGGGAAGAATGCTGAGTACTGTATGATGACTTTCTTCCTTCTTTTGTCCCATTACTTTTACATTTAAAAGAGCAAATGACATTCCTCCCTCCAAAAATATTGTGCATATAGTACCAGAAGCAGCCAGCTTTGTAAGGCTTAGAAATACCTTAGTCCCAACTCCGCCTCAGTGCTTCATCCCATCCATCCATCCATCCACTCAGGTGGCTTTCTCTCTTCTCATCATGCCCACTTAGCCCATTAGCACTCCTCGAACCCACTTGAGCTAACTGCTCTTTCTCTACCTTTAACCACCCAGAGGGTTAATCCCCCACCACTACCACCGCCACTACTACTGCTGTACTCTTTTCTCTTCCCTCTCCTTCACTCCATGGCTTGGTTTTACTCCTTTTTGCTGGTCCTCCCTTCCTCCACCCCATGCCTGCACTACTGTTTCCCCCTAGCACGGCCCTGGTCTAAGGGCTTTCCAGATAAATGAGTATGCCAGGCCTGGCTGTGGCTTCTTCTCTGCTGGTTAGGAGACTCTGCCATCTAGTGACTGAAGATGATGACTTCAGCTGTAGTGTATATTACTTACAACTGATGGTTAGGGGACTCTGCCATCTAGTGACTATGACGGTAGTTGTGCTTTATATTACTTACAATGATTGACCCATTTTAAAACCAAACACCCTTTAAATATACCCCCCAAGGGTCTCCTTAGTACTACCATGAAAGGCAACAATAGCCCAATACCCAGCAAATCACCATCTGGGAATGAAGAGGATGAACTGGAACGCTCATTCTAGTGTTAATTTTCCCATAACTAATTGCCAACCCCATAAAAACTCACAACCTGAAACATTATTGGATTGAAATTTATAGCATCTGGATTAACAAATTAAGTCTCCAGAATATGCCAAATCCTTTGCTTGTTTCTGGAACCAAGAATGGACTGCTAGGGGCCAATAAACCAAAGTGCAATGCAAATTAAACTGGATCACTCTTACTGTTTGCCTGGACCAGGGCTGTCCCAAGTAGGACTGCACACAACCTGGGGGTACAGGCAAACCCAGTTTTGTCAGAGAAGTCCCAAGTATGGCACAACTGTGTAGCCCTCCCAACCAGGATAGCCAATGGTGGGGGATACTGGGAGCTGCAGTCCAACATAATGAGGGCCATGTGGTTCCCACTCTGTCTTACACAATCTGCAGCCCCTCCTTGTAAAACAGGGCCTAGCCAGATTGGGCCATTTTCCAGCAATAAAATAGATTAATGGTTTATTTATTGACATATCCCACCTTTTACCCAATGTGGGACTCAAGGTAGCTTACAAAAGTTAAAACAGATACAGATAAAAGAAAAGTTTCATTGTACAAAACTGTGTTATAAGGAGTTAAAAGCAAACCATTAAAATGAACAAATTAAAAGAAACACACAGCACATGAAAGACCCTTCCTTCCCCCTGAGCAATCAACCTTCAAAGGCCTGCCGAAACAAAAAGGTCTTCACCTGCCTATGGAAGGTAAGCAAGGATTGGGCAAGTCTAACATCTCTAGGAAAGGAATTCCAGAGCTTGGAAGCAGCAGCCTCCAAGAAGGCCCTCTTCTGTGTTACTTCCAGATGTACCTGTGAGAAAAGTAGTAGACAGAGAAGGGCCTACTCAGAAGATCTCAAGACATAGACGGGCTCATATAGGGAGATACGGTCCTTCAGATAACTTGGACCTCAGCCATATAGGGCTTTATAGGTCAAATTCAGCACACTGAATTGTGCCCAGAATCAGAATGGCAGCCAGTTGAGCTGTTGCAACAGGGGACTTGTGTGTAATCTGTCTGCATCTCTTTGGACCAGCAGATGTTTCTGAACGTTTTAGCGGCAACCCCACGTAAAGTGGTTTAAAGTAATCCAAACAGGCTATAACTAAGGCATGCGTCACCAGGACCAGATCCAGCAACCTCCAAATTAGACCAGTGGAGTGTGTTGTGTGTTGGTTGCCTTTGAAGACTCTTCAGAAATGTTCATTAGGCCAAGGTAGCACTACAGAACTATTTATCTGATTGTGATAAATCGTCCTTTCTCAGGGACAGACACACAAAGTTGTGCTGGGGGACTTTTGTTTCACCTCTAGGCCACTGGCATTGGGGAAGGGATTGACTCAAGGTTCCATCTTGTCCCCTAAGCTTTTAGGTATTTACCTGAGAAGTCCTCTGGAGATGTCATTAAGCCGGGATGCCATACCTTTCTTCTCAACCATCTAACCAAAGAAAGCAGCTGAAACCCCAACTTCAAGAAATTCAGGAAATTCAGGAATGGGAAAACACTGATATACCAAATCCAGCCTTCTTCAACCTTTTTACCCTATAGGACCCTTGAAATAATTTTCAGGTTCAGGTAATCCCTGCGTAAAAATTATTATATCTACAACTCAAATAAAAATGTGGTTTTTTTTTCCCCCCCAATCACAATCTCCTGCAGAACCCAAGGGTTTCAGGAAACCCTGGTTGGAAATCCCCATACCAAAGCATAGAGAAAACAAATTCTTTAGGCTGGAAAATCCACTCATCTAGCCCAAGATTTCACTCTGTCTCTGGAAGGGGTCACAGCCCCAGAAGCTCTCCTAGATTCATCTATGCCTACAGAGGTACAGGTGGAGATGTTTGTTGCTGTTGTGTGCCTTCATTTTCCAACTTATGGCGAACCTAAGGTAAACTTATCATGGGGTTTTCTTGGCAAGATTTGTTCAGAAGAGGTTTGCCATTGCTTTCCCCCGAGGCTGAGAGCATGGGACTTGGCCAAGGTCACCCAATGGGTTTCATGGCCATGCTGGGAATTGAACCCCAGTCTCCAGAGTTACAGTCCAATACTCAAACCACTATGCCATACTATGCACTTTGGTATCATTCAAGCCAGGCTACTGTAACGTATTAAGTTTCGGACTGCTCTTTTAGGTGGCATAGAACATAGCAGTTAGAACACAAGCTGCAGCAAAGTACCTGGCTGTTCAAAAGGATTGTTTTCCAGGAGAACCAGCCCAAATAATGAGGCCATCATGGATCACTTTACCAGGGTCTCTCCTCCTCCTCCTCCTCTAGAGATGCCAGCGCTGACTGCAGTGATGGGGGGGATAGAGAGCACTTCCCAATTGTGGTGCCCTGCGTGTGGCCAGGGACAAATGCCCAGCCTCAATTTTTTTTCCAGCACCAGACAAACCTTATTTTCTTTACCCAGCCTTCTTTAGCCTGCCCACATCTAAAACACTTTTAGTTTCATGGGCAGTGCTAGCCATTCCATTTTGGTGTAAACCGTTCTGCTGCATTTGTTTATATGATTTATCACCCACACACTGGTTGGCACAAATCAAAAAGCCCTCCATGACTTTGGCTACCTGGAAGACCATATGCTCCTGTAAAATCTTGCTGGGGCCTTGAGATCAACAGGAGGGGCCCTTTGCACAATTTTATCTAGTGCAGACATGATAGATTACCTTCTCCGTGACTGCTCCCATCAGCAAGCAAAAGGCCTTTCCATTGAGGCAGACCATTTGCAACTCAAGCTGTGCTGGAGTTTTTAACTATTTTAAATATTATCAGTGTGGAGTCTTTTACTGTTCTAATTTGATCTATGTTAAAATGGTACAATTAATTCTATCTGTATCTTAATGTGCTAAATTTATTGGGTTTTTTTAAAGATGTCATCCGGCCTAGCTCTGGAAGAATGGAAGGACAGAAATTTTAAAAATAAATAAATAAAAGTTGAATTCTGTTTTAAGAGTGTTTGGAGAGGCCACTGGAATTTCGTTACGTTTCAAGGGTGACACTGAATCATAGAATCCTAGAGTTGGAAGAGACTAAAGAAGAAATGTGGCATTCACACAGGATTTTGTTGTTGTTATGTACTTTCAAGTCATTTCCAACTTAGGACGACCCTAAGACAAACATATCATGATGTTTTCTTGACAAGGTTTGTTTAGAAGAGGTTTGCCTTTGCCATTGCATCCTCTGAGGCTGAGAGCATGTGACTTGCCCAAAGTCGCCCAGGGGTTTTATGGCCAAGCAGGGACTCATTCTCCAGAGTTGCAATCCAACACTCAAACCACTACACCACACTGGCTCCAAGCTACTGGCAGACAAATGCCTTGGCTATCTCCCTGAGCACAAAACGCTGCTGC